GAACAATTCTTATTTTCCTTTTTTCAAAAAACACATATTTTTTTTAAAAATGTTAGCGAGATAAGTTTTGTTCTACTAGTTTTATTGATATTGGTATATTAATGAATAATTTAGAATTTTTTAGTTCATTTAATACATTTATTAAATAACATGTAAAATATCTAAATATTAAAATTAAAAATACAGTGTTTAATAAGAACCAGTAGATGCTATAATAAAATAATTTTGAAAGTACAATGATGTAGTAAGTTTGTCACATCACTATAGTACATGTTGACAGTCTACGTGGACAATGAGGTGACATGAAAACCTAGTATAATGAGTAAATTTAAATCAAAGGCTACCCAATGTTATAATGAGTAAATTTTTCAAAGTACAATGTCCTAATAAAAAATAGTTTGAAAGTACATTGTTGTAATAAGAAAAACTGAAAGTACAATGCTATAATAAAGAAATTTATGAAAGTAGATTGTTATTTTGTGTATTTTGTCCTATTGTTTATTGATGATTATTACTTAAATTTCAAAGCTACAAACAAATAGTACATAATTACAACTTTTTAACCCTATATGTTTGAATTCATATACCTAACTTGTAGCACCCAAAATCCATATTTGCATGAAACCACATATAATTCTATTTAACATGAAATACAAATATATACATTGTTCCCAAATGTACAACTGCTACATATAAAAGTAGCTACAAACTTTTTAATTTTACACCAAGTACATGACTTGCAAATATAACAAGTTTTCTAGTACATGCACAATAGCAACTTCCAAAACTCACATATGTAAAGCAATCATAACTTCTTTCACATCTTTCCTTTCCCCTTACTTTCCACATGTGTCTGACCTGTAATGCACAATTTTAAAATAAAATAAGAGTTAGACCATAAGGTCTAGTGAGAAATTCTTTTTGTTTGCTATTACAGGGTAAAAATCAACAAAACACTTTTAGAAAGCTCATATTTGTATTGATGACAAATAAACAATGTTTTATTAAAACATACCTCTTTGTCGCATCGTATAGATAAAACCAAAATTTCTCGCATCATAAGAATGAGATAACCCCATGTCCTCGCATCAAATAGATGCAATAACCCATTTCATCGCATTCAACACATGCGACAAACACCCATTGTTGCACTAAGCAGATGCGATAAATACATTTGTCGTATCACACTGATGCGATAAATACAACTTGTCACATCATAAGGATGCGATAACCCAACTTGTCGCACCTCAAGAATGCGATAACTCAACTCCTCGCATCACAAGGATACGATATAAATATCTTCCTCGCATCTCATTGATGAGATAACATCATCTCATCGCATCAAAGTGATGCGATAAATCAAACTCATCGCATCATGAAGATGCAATAACAGTTTCCACATGATCAAAATTCCGTTTTTAACATACAGTTGATTTTGTCACCCTTGTCCCAATATACGTCTCTCCTGATTATGACACAATAATTAGATAAAATGCATATCAACTTCTTCTTCTTCTCTTCTGTTTACTTCGAATCAGGAATAATAGAATGAGTTCACCAATTTTTTTCTTATCCTTACCAAAACAAGAAATAAAAATGACACATGAACACATGAAACTCTTTTTAAAAGAGTGAGCCGGTGTGATGAGATATTTTAAAGCAACTTTTCAAAATGCACCCCTCAACTTTTACCACTTATTCAAAAATAATCCTAAACCTTTTAACCACAAACCTAGTTATCACATAAATGATAAACACAATTAAATACAAGATAAAAATATCATTTTAAATATAAATAATTTAAAATAGAATTAGGATAATTATTAAGTTCTAACAGAATACTTAGTTATTATCCTTATAAAAAATATTATATCTCAAATCTAAATTAATTTACTTCTTTATTAAACCTAAATTAAATAAAAATTGAATTAAACAAATTATACAAAAAAAACAAATTAAATTATTAATTTAAGATACACGTCTTTGAAATTTTTATGGGGTCTTCAAATTTATATTACTCAAACATAAAAGCATTATCAGTTTTTCAAAACCACACAAAACCGTATTATAAAATCGATAAAGACAAAAAAATAAAACGAAACATTAAAATCAATATGTATCAAACAACATTGTGTGAGTAGATTTATTTATACTATATTATAAAGCATTTGACAAAAACTTTTGAAAACTATTTTGTATGCATGAAGTATTGTACATTAATGCATATTACTTAAAATTTCATATTACTAGTAAATTATGCACAAGTACAACTTATCAAAGCTTCATATTTGAATTCGTATAACTAACTGCGGATAAACATAATCAAATAGAGGATAAATATCTCATTTTAAAATATAAAAAATCTAAAATATAATTAGGATAATTATTGAGTTCTAACAGAATACTTAATTATTATCTTTATAAAAAAATATTATTAAACATAAGACCATATTATAACATCGACTGAGATAAATAATAAAATAAAATATTAAAATCAAGATGTATCTCGGTGTATTACACGAGTACCCTTTTTGTAGTATTATAAAACATTTATGTTTTATCTCTTAAAAAAACTAGATGAATAGATTAACTTTTAAAAATTCACCCCAAAAATTATAATATTCATTTTTCTTTGTTTAAATTGAAAATGTATTATTCATAAATTTTAAATCTTATTTATCTAAAATAAAATTATATAAAAAATAACTATTTGATTTTTTTTTATCTGATACTTGTATCAGAATAGTTTTTTTCTATTTTTAAGGGGCCGTTTACTAAATGATTATGCAGGTAAGCGCTTATCAAATCACATTACCTCATTGGATGAATATGGTAAGAACCAAGAGTCTTACCCGGTAAGTGAGAACGGCGACTCTTACCACGGTAAGCGCTTATTGGGTAAATTGTTGCATACAATGTCGTTTTGGTGGACTAAGATCTTATCCAGTAAGTAAATAATAGTGTTAAATTTTACTGGTAAGCACTTACCGGGTAAGTGTTTGGTAGACGACCCTAAATAACAGTAACTGATAAACATTTATTCCATTTTCTTTTTAATAAAACATCTACTTTATAAAATTGAAGTCTACACCTTATCAGATCTAAATTACATGTGATACAAACGTTCTTGTGTTCTTTTATTTTGACCATGCTTTCTCGTTTGAACTTACGTCTAACGATGTTATTTTATATATCGTATAGTTGTGTTTTCGAACAATTGCATGATATAAAAAGAGAAACGATAATACCATTAAAAAAATCAATTGTCAGTAATAATTTGTGTTGATAATAATTGATTAGATATAGGTTTAACTTCAGATCCTACAAAAATACAGATTATAGTTACTAAAATACAATAAAAATGTTTAGTAGTTATTTCTTTTGTTACGAAAAAAACAATATAAATATATAACATTGTTAAGAAGATTGTTTTTTTTAATCAAAATGGACCGTACCGTTAGGAAAAACCACTATAAATGACGATTAGTAAAAACCATCGTAAGTGATAGAGGTGGGACTTGAAAACATAGTAATATTTAGATGAATTTGAAAGAGAAATGAGTAAGAGACCAATTTAAGAACGAGTAAGTGATATTTTGAACAATTTCCTAATTTTTTATATGTTTTTTCCACCAAAGACACCCATACAAATTTTCGAAGCTTCCCTCTCCTTCTTTGGTATTTAATGAACCAAAAGGAGAGGAAGAAACCATTGTTCCATACTTCAAAACAACAATACTCAAATGAGTTCATCTCTTCCAAACCACTCGCCGGAATCCTCCATCGGTTCTTCGCCGGAGTTTTCCCCTTGGGACACCAATTCCCTCCCCTTTAATGAAAACGATTCAGAAGAAATGCTTCTTTTCGGCCTCCTAACAACCGGCTTCGACACCACCACATCTTCCGACGAAGTTACCTCAAGATCTTTAAAAACACCCACCAAAATCACCCCATTCAGAGGGGTCAGACGGCGGCCGTGGGGGAAATTCGCGGCGGAGATCAGGGATTCCACCAGGAATGGGGTGAGGGTGTGGTTGGGTACTTTTGATAGTGCAGAAGCCGCCGCTTTGGCTTACGACCAAGCTGCTTTGTCGATGAGAGGTTCGTCGGCGATCTTGAATTTTCCGGCGGCGAAGGTGAGAGAATCTCTGCGTGAGATGATGGATGTCAAAAGGGTGGCAGATGGCGGTGGTTCTCCGGTGATGGCATTGAAGAAGAGGCATTCAATGAGGAGGAGAGATGCCAACAAGAAGAGCAGAAGAAACAGAGGAGAAGAGAAGGTGGTGTTCGAGGATTTAGGGGTTGACTTTTTGGAGCAATTGTTGACTTCTTCAATAGAAAATAAGAGTTGCTTGTAAGTTGTAACTTTTTTTTTTCTTTTTCACTTTCTTGTAAAATCAATTATTTTTTCCCAAGTAAAAATTATTCCATTTTTTATTTTCATAATAATATTTAATTTGAAGACGATGAATTCGTAATAATCCTCAAAAGAAATACGTAATTATTGCAAGCAACAAGCTCGATATCGTTACTGATAGAAAATCATTAAGTATCTCATAAATGACAAATGTGGGGACTTAGAAACAAAGAAAGAGAACAAGCGAGCAACAAAAGATGAAAAGGAGTAATGCCTAGGTTTCAGTAGAATGATTTTAAACATACGTTTAAGGGCTGTTTGGCAATTGTTGAATGATTAAGTGGTCAGAATGATTAAGAAGCTCTCATGATATAGTGCAAAATGAAATATAATTGTTTGATAATTGTGTACAATGAAATTAGGGCTCTTAATGGTTAAGGGAGATCCAAGATATAAAATCATTCAGAGGGTTTTAGAACCTTTAAGAGACAGACTTTTTTCTTTGCCAAACAAGATTCACCTCTTAATGATTCAAATGTTGTCTCTTAATGGAACTATTAAGAGTTAAACAAACAACCCCTTAGCTTCTTAACAAATATCGGCCGATAGCCCAATCTCTTAGTCTCGAAACTACAAATGTTTCAAGCCTATATTAGTCGTTTTGTTAGGACATGAAGTGCATGTTATCACCGGACCGATCATCTCAATAATAGTCTTGTTTTGCATTTAATTGTTCTACCCGTAAGAAAACCCAGTAAGATAAACGTTATGCATTGTACAAATTGCTTGTGGTTTTTATGTATTCCACGTCCCCAAGAAGAATGTGGCTTGTTGATCATCAAGATATCCTTTATATCATTTTCGTACAAGAACTTCTACGGTTTTGATTTTTGAATCGAAGAATAAAAAAAATCTTTATTCTCTTAAGCATGAAATATAGTAAAAGAATTGTTTTGCTTATTAATGGATTTGAACCAACAAGTCTCATTGAATAAGAGCAATATTATAACTACTGAATCTAAACCGTTCAATGTCACGTTTTATATAATGTCTCGTCTTTCACTGATAGACGAAAGAAAACAATTATAATTCAATTCACGACTTGATAATACTCAATGACATTGAAGGGCCAGTTAATGACATAGATGAAGCGAATGATCGTGTGAGAATGAGAGTTAAAGTGAGAAGCGCAAGAATCTGGACCCTTGATCACCTATAATCTCAAACCTACCCATGAATAGCGCTTGATATGGGGATTGATCCGATACATCTCGGTGAATCTCATCCTAATGTACATTCAAGGATGGAGATCTCTTCTTACGCTTCTCACCTTAAGCCTCTTTCTCACCGAAACCCAACCTTATTGACACACTCATTCATTTTAGAACAAATTTGAAGGACTAAAAACCACATCAATGTGTTCATCAAATGTTGTAACAAAAGGCCAAAGTCGCCTTCTTAAAGTTGGTGAAATACACGCAAAGTTGCATTTTTCAATAACCTCAATCCGCTGTCACACTTTTCTTACTATATCTTTGAGTTTAAGTACATGTAGAAGGTAGCAGAACCGTGCATCAACTTCAAGGTGTCGACAAACTTATAACCTCGAGTGCTATTTGAGGGCATGAAAGAACGTTGGAAAGTCTATAACTGTTCTTGACACGAATTGCGAATATTTCATCTTGCAAGAAAGCTCTGTGGAAAAGAACAGACTGTTTATTTAACTACAAAACCTTCAAACATGTTTAGTAGCGTTAAATGGTTCTCTCAAACCTGTCAGAACAGTTGTGAATTTAATTTATTTATTTTTACAGGAAGGTCAATCAAATCAAATGTCTCGAGGAAAAACATTCAAAAGCGAGAAGCACCACAATGTTTTTGTTTCTATGTGTAAGGGCAGAGCTAGGAATTTAGATAGATGGGGTTTGGTTGTCCGAACTGATGTAAAATAACAACGATAAATAAGAAGATTGTCCAAAATGACCATTAATTATAGATTCCCTAATTCATTTTATAGCCGTTTTTCTATTTTATGCTGAAAATACATAAAAGCAAAACTAACCAACAATTATACACAAGGTTACGATAGTATAATCTAACAGTTTAATTGTTCTAATTAAATAATTTTAATCTCTGTTGTTGTTCAGGGACTATAAGTTTGAAAATCAAAGAGTTGGAGGGTTTGTTGTGTCATTCTCTGAAACTTAAGAGCAACTCGGAAGTTTTTGGAAACTCCTGATCCCCAACGATTCCCTTCCTAATCCCACACCAAATCGACAATAATTATACCCGTATACATATAAATACGTCAAAAGTTACTCCATAAATGAAAAAAAAATTCGAGAGATAAGCGTCAATGGAGCAGCAACAGCAAGTGCAGGGATGAAGTTTGAGTTTGTAAAGCTCCAATCCACAATTTCAGGTATCATTCCTATAACTTACCAATTTGTACAACCCTTAGTGTTTAAATCCTTTTCGTGAGATTACTTCGATAGGGTTTGGGGTTTATACAATAAAAAACCACAACCAAAGGGGGTGTGAAGATCGAATCACCCGTCTACCATCATACTCGACGATAGCCACAACATCAGCAATTTAAGTTCAATCGTATACCGATGATTAGAGCTTGATTACAATCCAACCTACATAGAATTTTAACCACAAGATTTTCCAAAGCTTGCAACCTGGCTAACGAGTTTTATAAATGTTACAAAGGGATCAGAAATCGAATGTTATTCTATTTATCGTATACTAGGTTCCTAGTGTCGTAGTTAACTTAAATAAACCAATCGAGAGTTTTGATGCGTCTTAGAACCTACATAATTAGTAAAATTAGATGCACAACATCTGGGGGACCCGACCAATCGATTTTGAGTGCATCACATACATGTACCAATCATTATTGCATAAAATAGCCTTGGAAAATTGTTTCGAATTCGTAAGGAGTTGAGTTAACTACAAGGAATGTGGTAGGGCTACAACTTGGTAGGTGAATTCCGAAGACATTTTATCAGCTAAATGTAAACACTTGTTTTTATTTATTTGCGACGATGTTCATGAACTATGGAGTAAATGTGACTTCATGCATGCAAATGAATGAAATATGAACGGTGACACATGAGCACAAAATGGTTATTGATATTACGTGGATGGTTATTGATATAATATGAGGACACTGTGATATCTTAGTTATGCAATTGTTGCTTTTCGTCATTGTCAGTGAAAACCCTGCTGGTAGTTCCCAATTGTTCCGCTAACCCATCTAGTTTTAAGTCTGTATCTACATGACGACGGAACTTCTAGAAGCTTAACATAGTCAAGTTCTAACTTGATGTCAACAATTCGTATTATCTCTACAACATACTATTCTCTTACGTAGACAAAATCTACAACCAACTTATCTAGACTCGAGAATCACTAGATGTTTTTTGCAACGTGGGTCGTTATCGCTTAAAGCTTGACGATGAAGGGAGAAGAAAAAAAAGGAATCAAGGTGTTTGCAAAAAACACAAAAGGACCAAAAGAGCATTTTGCTTTTTATAAAGGACTAAAAGTGTCTTTTTCACAATATATCTAGAAATGTCTGTAAAAAGAAGATCCTTTAACAAATATTCTTATTCAAGAACCAAAAAGCATAAAATTAAAATTCAAAGGGCTATATGTTTAATGATGAGTTAGTTTAGGGACCAGTTTTGCCATTCACCAAGAAATGAGTGAGCCGAAACCCAAATAAATATGAACCCTCGTCTGAACACCAAAGGCAAACCCTCTTAGAAATTCGCATTCCCCAGTGGGATGCTTGAAACCTGGAATCATCTCAAAATCCAGATGCTCATCGAAGAATTAATCTGAATTGTGAGCTTGGTGGTGTTTATAATCTCTATGGTGAGATAATTATCAACAAATTTTGATTGAATTGAGCAAAAAAAAAAAAATGATTTCAAAGCAATCCGAGAAAGATAATGAGGATGCTGGTGTGGATGCTGATGTTGATGCTGGTGTGGTTTCTTCTCCCAGGCCAGTTCGTACAAGTGATAGGCTCCGAACAAGGACTAAATCAAAACCATACAGTCGGTATCCATCGTTGTATACCAAGGCGAAACGGAGCAAGACGAAAACGAGGAAAGCGGCTTCTCAGATTGCTAAGGTTTTTGACACCAACAGACAGAACAACTCGGATGTAATTCTCTTTGTTTTCGCATGTTTGTTAAACTCGATGGTGTGTTTTTGTAAATGCAATTTATTGGACGCCTAAGTGCTGATTATTTGATGGATTCTTTTATATGCTGATTGTAGAGATAATGCTAAAATAGTTGTGATGCATGTAGCTTCACCATGTGTTAGAGTGTGATCATATCCAATTCCATCATTTGGATAAAGAAACTGAGAAAAATCAGTTCATTATTTTGATCTGGATGGTTGTTAATTCGTGATTCATACCTTAAAACTCCATGAACACAAATTTCTTGGTTTCATATGAACCACAGTGGTTGAGCTTACTGGATTAGTAATAAGATAGTTTCTGAAAAGATATGTTAGTACCCGATTCATCTATAAACTTAAGCTCAAGGATGGAGGACCTATCAATTATACTCTGCACTTACATGGAGTATCAAGATAGAAGACTTCGCTATGCACATACAAAATAGAGCTAATTGAATGACTACATAAAGAAAGGGGGGGGGGGGTGGGGTGGAATAGCAAGCACATGCAGAAATACGTGAACTTGATAAGTTTAAGCTGATAGATAGAGGGCCAAACCACATTGTTTTTGATGTTATTCTTTGGTTGCTCTTAAAAAAGGTGTGTGGCTTTCAGAAGTTTATAGTTCTATTCCTTTCCAGATGTTTTAGACTTAAGGAACCCATATTGACATTATAAACTTCTGGTTATGGCATCTGCGTTCCTCATGCCTATGAGAATTATAATTAGCTATTGGTTTCTTTATTATGCTTTTATATTCTTTTGCTGCATGTTCTATAGCTGAAAACCTCTGTTTACTTGGTGTTGCTACAAGTTATCTAATTCAGATAATAATTAATAAAACATGAAGGTGAAGAATCATTAAATTTTAGACTGCTTTAATTAGGGTCCAGTAATTCTGATTGATATGATGAAACAGTTTCTCAGGGTGTTATATGTCTGATGTGTTGTCATTGATGCTTGATTTGCGGAACCTAGAACCTAAAATTTGTGTTCTTCTCTTCTATTATGTAATTTGTTCCTAGTGTTATTGCAGTCTGTTATGGCAAATGTTCGGCGTTCTACAAGACAACGGAGAGTTTCTTCAAGTCTTTATGGTTACACAGACAGTACAGGATCGGAGGATACTGACCTAATGGTGAGTTCCTGATCTCCTCAGGTTGTAATGTCAATATGGGTTCCTTAAGTCTAGAACATCCCTTGTGAGATGAACTTATTTCTGGGGGTCTAAAGTACCATGTAAATTTTTTTCAGGCTTCCAAGTACCGAAGTTCTAGGAGCAGGAACAATAGCAGTGTCAGGCATAAAGAGAAGATGCCTCGTCGTGAAGGACTGAGACCTCGGCGTGACGGACTCCGACCTCGTCGTTCTAATGCAGGTTCAAGAGGACAACTAATTATTGAATCTGATGATGAACTTGATCCTTATGAGGAGAATAATGGACAGGAAAACGGCAATGAGATGGAGGATAATGATGCAGATGATGGTGAGAGTGAGGAGGGTGGTGCTGAGGGTGATGGAGATGATGAAGGTGAGGGTGAAGATGAAGGAGAGGAAGATGGTGATGATGATGATGGTGAAGAAGAGCAGGAGGGTAGGAGACGGTATGATCTTCGAAATCGTGCAGAGGTTCGAAGGCTATCCCTTGAAGAGGGTAAGCAAAGACCAAGATCTCCTAGAAGAGTACTTCAGCAAGGAGTAGGGACAAAGCACAGTAGGGATGTTAGAAGAGGTGGATCGCGAGTTCATAAACGTCATCGCATTTCGCGAGCTGAAGATTCAGATGATTCTCTTCTTGTGGATGAGCTGGACCAAGCAATGCCCATGCCATGGTCAAGAGGGGCGAACAGGTCTGGTGCACCGCCGTGGCTTTTAGGGGGACCAGATATGCATGGGACATCTGCATGGGGATTAAATATTGCTGCATCGGGCTGGGGTCATCAGGGTGATGTTTTGGCTAACCTAGCTTCTGGTGTTCAAACTGCTGGACCAAGTTCCAAGGGAGGGGCTGACATTCAACCTTTACAGGTTGATGAAAGTGTAAGTTTTGATGACATAGGAGGGCTTTCAGGGTATATCGATGCTTTGAAAGAAATGGTCTTTTTCCCACTGTTGTATCCTGATTTTTTTGCTAGTTACCACATTACCCCTCCGAGGGGAGTGTTGTTATGTGGTCCTCCTGGCACGGGGAAAACACTCATTGCACGAGCATTAGCTTGTGCTGCTTCAAAGGCTGGGCAGAAGGTCAGTTTCTATATGAGGAAGGGTGCCGATGTGCTTAGCAAATGGGTAGGTGAGGCTGAACGACAATTGAAGATGCTTTTTGAAGAAGCCCAAAGGAATCAGCCATCCATAATTTTCTTTGATGAGATAGATGGGCTTGCTCCAGTTAGGTCAAGCAAGCAGGAGCAGATTCACAATTCTATTGTGTCAACTCTGCTTGCCTTGATGGATGGTCTTGATTCACGGGGGCAGGTGGTTTTGATTGGGGCAACCAACAGGATTGATGCCATTGATGGAGCACTGAGACGGCCTGGTAGATTTGATCGTGAATTCACGTTTCCCTTGCCTGGTTTTGATGCCCGTGCTGAAATATTAGACATTCATACTCGGAAATGGAAACGACCTCCCTTGAAGGAGTTGAAATTGGAGCTTGCTGCCAGTTGTGTGGGATACTGTGGTGCTGATTTAAAAGCTCTCTGCACTGAAGCTGCCATTCGTGCTTTTCGTGAAAAATATCCTCAGGTTTACACTAGTGATGACAAGTTTCTCATAGATGTTGAATCAGTGGAAGTGGATAAGAAGCATTTTATGGAAGCCATGTCAACAATCACTCCGGCTGCCCACAGAGGTTCAATAGTGCATGCTCGACCGTTGTCACCAGTTGTTGCCCCATGTCTACAAAGACATCTCCAGAAGGCCATGAGTGTTATATCCGATATTTTTCCTGCTCTTGAAATTTCATCTGAATCAACCAAATTTTCTATGCTTGTCTGCGGTATTGCTCTTCCTCTTGTGTACAGACCTCGGCTTCTGTTATGTGGCATGGAAGGTGCTGGGCTGGTAACTATTTTCTTGGACTCGGATGTTCATATATGGTTTATCATGTAAATGTATATGATAAGTGGACTCACTAGTTCATTTTCAGGATCACTTGGGACCTGCTATCTTACATGAACTGGAAAAGTTTCCTGTCCATTCTCTCGGACTTTCCTCTCTTCTCTCGGATCCCAGTGCGAAGACACCAGAGGAAGCTTTGGTTCATGTATTTGGTGAAGCAAGGAGAACTACACCTTCAATACTCTATTTACCTCAATTCCATCTTTGGTGGGAAAATGTTGGTGCACGTCTACAAGTTCTTTCATTCTTAGTGCTTATATAAGAAATAAATATCAAACAGACATTAACTAGGATGTTGTCATTTTGTTGTCATTCAAGGATTCATCTCTTTTTTGTTCATATCTTAACTGGTTATACCATTTGTTTCAGGCACATGAACAACTTAGGGCTGTGCTATTGACATTGTTGGCAGAGTTGCCATCAGATTCCCCCATATTATTGCTTGGAACATCTTCAGTTCAGCTTCATGAGCTTGATGGAGATCCGTCTTCTGTATTCTCTTCGCGTAACGTGTATGTTTGTTTACTTGTTCTGTTACTTTTCCTGAAGATCCGTGCCACAACACATGGTCACCAGTTCATAAAGCTTTGGGCTGCTGTCATATGTTTCGCTTTGACATTTCAAGTAGTATATCATAATGAGGGTAGTTCTTGACCGGAAGTCCTTTTGTAAATGTGAAATCATTTCCAAGTGAGAAGCTTAACACTTTGCCATGATATTGAATGATATTTAGATGTGAAGAAATATGGTTCTGTTATTCTTGATCGTCATACACATGGAAGACAAACAACTTGCATCATTGTACCATTAGGGAAAAAAAGATCTACTTTCTATCTTTCATATGGTTGGGGAATTTGTTTGACTTAAAAATGTGAATACATATCTTTAGTTACTTTCAGCTAATTAACGTGAAAAGCTGATGTGACAATAACTGATTAGTGTTGGTGTTTCTGATGCTGAAGCTCCCTCTTTTTTTTTTTTTTTTGGGGGGGGGGGGGGAGTTTTGGAGGTGTTAAGAGAAGCTTTCATGTTAAGTTATTTATTTTTGTTTTCTGTAGAAGTTATATGAATTGGGTAGAGGCTGCTACTAGTTTTGTGCTTGAAAGATATTTTAGTGTAGGTTTGTTGATGGGGCCATTGTCATCCAAAGGCAAAAAGGTAGGCTCGGACCATAGTTGACTACAGATTAGGTTTATTGAAGTGAAAGTTCATAGATTTTTGTGATTGTGTTTCATGAATAGTAGTTTTGGCTGTATGAATTCATACAGTTTGGCTTAAGGTCTCCCAGCCAAAGAGGATGCTCTTCTGGGTGCTTGATTTTCTGAGTGCTATATGTAGGGGGCTTGAGGCCATTCAGCCCTTAAGCCAAACCCTAGGTGTAGCACACATAAAGATTAGCCCTTTCCAAGTGCATCAAAACTACGATTGGAGTAGAGATGATATGCATTGATGCTAGTCAGCAAAACTTTTTGGTTTAATGAAACGACCTTGTTGCATGCATGAGTGCTCTTGACTTGGCCCTGCTGTTTTTGGTTGTTGTTACTGCTGAGCCCATTTCTCTTATGGCTTATTTAAAGATATGATGTTGTATTCATAAGAGTTATAATTAGTAAAAGTAAAACTGTTGGAAGTTGCCTTGGCTTGCTCCTTGTTTCTGCTGCTTAGCATCATTAACGGAGCAGGTGAAGTCTTGTTTTTTTTTTTTTGCTTAGTATCTAGAACCATTCTGGCTCTACCAACTGGAAATCTTCTTTCTGATTTCTTAAAAGCATCACATATGATTGCTTATAGAGTGTTTTGACTGGTGGCTCATTCTTGAGGTGATATGACTGATACTTATATGACAAAAAGTGTATTACATTTACTACTGCCCATGGTAACAGCTATCCTTTTCTGAATATCTTTGGTATAGATTGCCCATTAATTCATACAAGCATCCACCTTTATAATATTTGGGACAGCTTTATTTCTTATGCTCATCACAAAATCAGTTTATGAAGCACAGGTTCTTCATGATACAGAATTAATAAATTCATGTATTTACCTATTACAGTTATCAGGTGGAAAAACCATTACTGGAGGATAGAAGTACGTTTTTTGATTGTCTGATTGAAGCAGCTTTGTCTATACCGTCAGAGGGAGCCGCAAAGAAGTCCCAAAAATCTCTCATTGTTCCTGTACTCAGTAAGGCACCAAAGGTGGACACTGGCCCCAAGGTCTCTGAACTAAAAGCTAAAGCTGAGGCTGAGGGGCATGCCCTCCGCAGATTGCGAATGTGTTTACGTGATGTTTGCAACCGGTAAGCATTTCCTGATTGCATTTGAAATTCTTCTTCTGACTGTTATTCATCAAGTTCAAAGCTATTTGGCTGCTGCAATGGTCTCCACATGAGTCTTGGGAGGCCAGATAGATGTGGCATCCCATCCCAGTTGAGCACCTTAGAGATGTTGGCCTCGTGGGTGAGGTGTTAGACGGTTTTTGGAATTTTCATTGATAGATGAAGCAAGTGATATAACAAATCGTAACTTAACATCCATGTATATGTCTATTATTGTTGTCTCTCTTTACTCTAGTGGCTGCTGCCGAACATGCTTGCTACATGTACTACTTAACCAACAAGTTACTGCAACAAACATTACATTTCCACAGCTTGAACTTTTTGCATCCAATTACATAACTTAGTTGTTTATAAGTTTATTACATAACATATGCGAGAAAAAGTACAAAGCTAGACTTGTTCCGTAGAACTGAATGCCACACACCTGAGTATCTTAGGCTTCGGTCTATTTACCCTTTGCCGCCTGCTTCCTACTTCTAAGTTGTAACTGGTAGTGGTAATACAGAACATCATTGTACACTGAATATGTGCTGTAAGACTGAAACAACTTTAAGGTAAGCAATTTCCATTTCCATGCTCTTATTTAAATCATTTCATGTTGTTACGTTCTCTTTCCTTTTATATCCAACTCTCGTAAGTGCTTAGTTGAAGGTGCTGGAACACATTCTGACCCATTCCTTTGTAGTGGCATTAACACCTATTGCCCTAATCTTTTCCCTTCATGTGTCAGGTTACACACTATCCCTATTCAAGACGCTAACCATTCACATAATCTGTATAATTATAAACATGACATAGTCCATCATCATTAATATCACGTCTTTCGAAATATTGAGAAGTAATGTGAGCTGGAGTGCAGCCATCTTATCTACTGAACTAGCTAGAAGGCATTTCCACAGGCCGATTGAATTCATGAAAACTTACTGAAAATTACCATGCCATGTATTTGAAAAACTTTTCTCATAAAACTGGACACATTTCTTTCTAGCCTTAGAACTAAAGATTGTCATAATCTTGCTATTGAATCAACTTGATACTTTGGCTCGTGAACTCAATCGTTGGGCTAAATATAACTACGATACATACTTACCAGATATCATAGTGCTGCTGATCTTTTTCTTCTATCCTGCCCTGACACAAATTACAGGGTGTTGGGGCTTAAACTGGTCAACCACGTGGTTATTGGCATATGTTTGGACACTCCTAATACTTTCCTGCACTTTTCCTTTGTTTATATTATAAACTGTAGAGGTTAAACACGAAAATCTTGGTTCATGGATTCATTACAAAGTATGCTCTTGCCTCAAATCTTGCATCTATTAATGTAATATCTATAACCACCATCTGGACTGACAAAAAATTATGGTTTACCTAACATATTAAAATAACTCTTCGACGTAAGATGCAACCTCTTAAGTCATCAATAGGAAGTAGATGAATTTTACACAATTTATGCCTCCCTATTGCAAGGAAAGTGATTCCACTTCTGTGTGTGGGATGGTGGGGAGGGCCTAAAGTTTATACAGATCTTTGGGAGGGGGGTGGGTGAATCTTTGCATAGACCTTGATATCACGTTTGATAATTCTATTTCTAGCTTGCAAAATATTCCAATCAAACTATACTACATAGATTGTTTTGTACAACACACATGCAAGTTTGTATGATCTCAACTTGGTGCTTGAACCATCTTCACAATAACAATCTACTTGATTCGAGTGATGATGATACAATCACCTTCATGGACTAGCCGTATTAAGATGAATCCTCAATCGGCTTAAGGTGTTGTGCTTCAGTGGGCTTGTAGCTTCAATAATTTTGTACCATTTGCATGTTGTACCCATTGACATTCTGAGTAGATTAAACTGACTTGGACCAAATGGTAGCCCTAACTTCCATATTCTCCAAGAGAGGATATGTGATCATGCTATCCTATTTTCACCAATAATGATGAGAATATGTAAAAACAAGTTGGAGGATTGAAGGAAGAATGTTTCTGTTACTTGGACCATTGTTCCAGTGTGAGATATTCTCATTTTTTTGCCCCATTGTATCAGTGGAAGGTGGTATAGTAATAACACTTGTGATGAGTCCCGGCTATCTATGACACATTTAGGTCGGGTAGAGGCATCCAAATAGGATTTGATTACCCACTTAAACATTTTGACTCCATGGCTTGAGAATCAGGGATTTTCTATTAAAAAGCGAAGGGCCTTCCTACAAAGCCTTCAGCTCTTCTCAACATTTTAAGAAAGAACTGAACCTGAACATGCCTGAATATGAATACGTATCATCATTGTGTCTGCATATCTCGACTTTTGCCTTATTACTCTATATCTGGAAAAGTTCTGGGTTGATTCAGCAACATAGCTATGCTATTTGCCCACTCTTTTCATCTTCCACATCCTCGTTTAGATCGGAACTCCCTATTCCCTATTTATTTGTCAGGTGAAATATACTTCTAAGTTATTTCTGCAGGCTGGGTTTTGGTTGGGCTTAACTGATCTTGCCAAAATTTGTGGCCTATTTATTTTTCTCTGCTCTCTGGAATTTACCCCTTATTTGCAGCATCTTATACTCTCAAACTTATTTCCAGAGTTTTTTTGGCAATGATTGCAGTGGGGTATAGTTTCTCTTTCATTTTATAATGGCACTGGGACTTGTGTACTTGGGGTTATCTGTAACAAGCTGCTGGTTGCATGGTTCACAGTGTAAATTGAGAAAGCTTATAAGTTATCTTGATCTAAATAGTACATAGGAGAGTATTCTATAGTCTATATCAAGACTCTAATCCACTCTGCAGTTGCTTCTCTCTTTCAGTCATGATAGTTTTATTCTTTCTGTTAATCTTAGCTAGGAGCTTTGACCTTGCATACTATTTTAGAAACCCTTTTATTCACTAGTATTGTTTTTTACCTGGTGCAGGGTTTTGTATGACAAACGCTTCAGTGCCTTTCACTACCCAGTGCTAGATGAAGATGCCCCAAACTATCATGCAGTCATTCAGAACCCCATGGATATGGCTACCCTTTTACAGCGTGTTGATGGTGGCAAGTACATAACATGCAAGGCCTTCTTAGAAGATTTTGATCTCATTTTGGCAAATGCAAAGGTACATTTGCAAATCTTCAATTAAGTATATATTATATGTTTCAATCTATGCCTTCCGTTCTGCTTCGCAAATCTATACCCTCTTATTATCTTTCTTTAACCTTATGTAATGATTTTTTTTTTCGTTCATGCAGATATATAATAGGGATGATTACAACGGAGCTAGGATCGTCAGTAGGGCTTATGAACTTCGAGATTCAGTATGTAGTTATTTTTTACTGGCCGGGAAATCACTTCCCTTTATGTGATTGTTTATTAAATTAGTATTTTCTTTGTATAGGTGCAAGGGATGCTATCCCAGATGGACCCAGCATTGGTTGCTTTCTGTGAGAAGATTGCTGAAGATGGTGGTCCACTGTCTCTGCCTGAAGATATTGCTGGATCTTCTTTCCACCATGTTCCTATTGTTCATATGACTAGGGCTAGCGCACGTCTTCGTCATGTCCAGCCAGAAGTCAATGTAGATCAGAGCTATGAAGCACTAAAACGCCCAAAGAAGAATGTCGATCCTTCACATGCAGCAGGTGATCACAGTTTATTTGCTGTTTTTATTTTTCATCTAGGGTATAATTTGATCTAGTAATTTCCAACAGTTTTACCCAACATATTTTATTCTTTTTCTCTATCCAATATCATGCAAGTTAAATATAGTGCATAGAAATTCATTGGGTGGTGGTTCAGGTTATTGGGCAAGGATTTAATGTTTCATGAAAGGCTAAGGCAACAAAGAGTTCTATATGCTTATCACTTGCATTTTGTTTAACGTACGTTTCTCTGTAGAGTTGTTCATGTTATTGATAGCAGTTTGGGTTAGAAGAAATTAGAGTACATAGTAATCCACTAAGGGTATATTAGTCTTTTAAGCGTTTTTCTGTTTCTTGGTTCTAAATGGGATTTTACCTCACATGTTGTAATTCCATCGGAGTCCATTATTTTACAATATGCTGATCAAAAGAAAAGTTGCTTTTATATAGCTTGATGGTTCAACCTCTCATTGTTCTGATGCCTTAGGTCTATCTAGGTGTCTGTAAAGACCTAAGGCATCAGAACAATGAGAGGTGTATATGGGCGTGAAACGCTCTACTTCAAGTCTTATTAAGGATATGTCTTTTACTGGTTTCCTTAGTCAGGTTCCTTCCATTAGCATAAAATTATGTAATTACCAGGTTATAAACTCTCTTTATTGTGTTTTTTTGGTAATTGGAAAAAGTTGTTAGAACAAGTAGCAAATGGAGTACTGCAAGAAAATCAATGATCGAGTCGTTCAATCTTCCTTCTTCTGATTCTATAACCATTTCTAATTGACGAATGTTGTGAATTTTCAGTATCAACAGCGGACGAAGGATCTCTGCCTCAAGAACCAGCAGTGGATGAACAAAATGATCCAAAGCCTGCAAGCTCGCCTCCTGGTTGCATCGAGGTCGAAACACCTTCCTATGAGGTTAATGAGCCGAAATCGCAGGATGCTGTCATGTCAGATGTGGAGAATGACAGCAAAATCGATTCTGCCAAGAAGCTTTTGTTGGATGGCACGGCCGATTATGGAGTTCCACAGCTAGAAAGGCTGTATACGCGAATCGTAAAAGGTGTTTTTGAGTTGAAAATTGTTGAACACGACGATCACAAGTCTCCAGTTTTGAACTTTTTGTTGAAGTTTGCCGAAAACGAGGCTAATTTTTGATTATTTTTTCCTGGTGGATAGATTTTGGTTGTTTTTTAATCCTTATAAATTTGAAAGCATTTTGGTAGAATTTAAATTGAATCTAAGTTTTAGGAGATGATTTCACTGTGTGTATCTGCACAAAACTACATTCTTTAGCAGCGGCTTGGACTCTGATTCTTTCTATGTGAAATGGGATGTTGATCATCTTTTCTACTCTGTTAGAGATGCACAAGTACAGGTCATAATTGGTGCTTGGTTCGGTCCATAGGATCGATTTGGGTCTGTTGATCCTAATTGCTTGTGGATTGGGATCGAACCTTTCTTGTTTTTCCGACTGTTGCTTTCATAACCACCTATGTCATTAATGTTAGGATTGATTTTATTGCTCATTTCTACAACACAAAACGTACACCATTGATATCAGTCACATACAACTAGTTTCTGATACAATTCTCCAGATATAGCTGCTTCCATCGTAGCTTCAGGATTTAAACCACTAGGTTCAGGATTTAAACCACTAGGTTTGATCACCCCGCCTTCTTCAAGAAACAGAGTCAATAAGTTCTTTGAAAACCCACTAAGCAGAGCCACCCCTTTCTGCTCGGCCGTCACCGGAGTCGAATACGAGTCCCTAAGATTCCAAAACACAATTTCCGGCACTTTCTCATACCCACAATCCCTATATTTTCGCTCTATTACCTCATAATCCGTCTCCCACGGATTCGCTGACGCCTCATCAAACTCCATATCGCTGAAAACAAACACCCTTTTCGCCATTTCATCTTCACTCAACTTCCCATTCACACCAACCTCCAACATTTTATCAAAAACCCGCTGAAAATCTGTGTTGAAACCTGCATCCATCCTTCCTATGAACTCTGTTTTCGATCGGAGGTCACCCCCTTCGATCAAATGGAGCTCCGGCGACAAACTGAACGTGATCACACGACCCTTCCATGGCTCCGCACTAAGTTCAGACACCAACAATCCAAGCGCAACCGAGACCTCCATTGGAGTCCCAACCATGCTACCAGAAACATCACAAACCGCGATGCAATTCGTCAGCTTACCCTTTTTTAACAAATCATCAACCATTCGTTTCCATTGAAGGTCGGCAACAGTGGCTGCCCCAATCCCACGTTTCAAAGACCTGATAATCTCGTGGGGAAGCAAAGCTCCAGCGGCAATCTTTGCATCACCGCGCTTCACGTTTTCGAGATACCCGCGAAACCGTTGCTTGTCTCGATGCAAGAATATGTCTGTGTAGTTTTTCATGGCTATAGAAGCTACTCTATCGTAAGAAATCGAGCTCCATTGTTTTGCACTCATATAAACTTCGGGTAATTTCAAGGCATTATGAAGAGGAACAAGAATTTGTTTCCTCAATCGATCTTTGATTCTAAAGACATAACTAGCATCATCAAATCCATCTAATTCAGGATCAGAATTTCTAGGGTATATGATTCTAGCAATTGTCTCACAAATCAGTGTGGTTTTATCATAGGAAGAATCAACACTAGGGCACCACTTTGCAGCTAAACTGATCTTCATATGATCACCGGAATCCAGCAATTGAATATCGGATTTTAAACGATTAGCGAAGAACATCGAAACCTGATCATGGAAGAACCTGTAATCAGGATCTGAATTGTATCGATCCAGTGCTTTCTTAGCCATGGCGGATTCCTTTTGTTTCCTTGATGATTTTGCTCTTTCTTTCTCTGCCTTCATTTGTGCCCTATTTGCTTCAATCCTTTGTTCTCGAGGCACTCTTGCCCTCAAATTAGCTTTAATTTCATCATCTCCATCCTTTTTCTCCTTCTGCTTCTTCCTCTTCTTCGAAAGGAAGTAAAACTTTCGTGCCCTACCTTTTCCTTTCACCGATTTTTTCAAGATCCACTCGGACTTTGCAATCCATCGCACTTCAGGACCTTCGATAAGTCTGTAGAGAATCTCTAACAAGTCCTTGAAGTAGCCGAATTCAACGAGTAGAGGAATATTCGAAGCTAGGGTTTTCGGGTGGTGGTTATGGAGCCAGAGCGCCGCTGTGTAGAAGCTCTCTTTGTCCGATTTTCCACTACCGCGTACGGCTCTCAGATTGCAGATGAGCTTAAGCGTGGTCAGTGAGTTGTGATTCCAAGACAACTGCAGCCGATTGATCAGGTCTTCCGTCGTCGTGTCGGGTACGACGTGGAAGAAGAAGTCGAGGCAGGGGTTGCCAGAGGATAAGTAGGTGGCGGAGTTGTTCTCGGTGAAGCCCATAAGAGGATCATCAGCAAGAATGAGATTGTTCTCGGTGAAGAACATAAGAGGATCATCAGCAAGAATGAGATTGTTTGTCTGGTTTGTTATGACGTCGTCGAGAAGATTGTCGTCGAGAAGATTGTCGCCGGCGTCCATGGTGTGTTTTCCGGTGAGAGAATGGAAAAATGGAGGTCCGTCTAGTAAGTGATGGGGGAAATGGTTGCCACGCGTTCAAAATTTAAACTGAAGTCATCGACTGCAGCGTGCAGCCCACGCCACGTAATTTCACGAATTAATTTAGGGGTTGATATCCCCACCCCCTTACGTCATTTCCCACCCCCTCCTCCTCACATCTTTCCTCACTCACACTCTCACATTCATCCGAATTTTTTAAAATTTTAATTTTAAATTTACATTTTATGCTCCTGTAATTAGATAATTAATTTACTTTATATCCTTTGCTTTTAAAATTTTCATTTTACAYCCTTATCAAATTAACACACATAATTATATATCAATTATAACATGTTTAAAAAATATATTTTTATTTTAACAAATTACATCATTATAATCGTCTCGTTAATACCTTCGAAATGAGTTCAATATTGAATAGTTTTTGGATTAATTATATTATTATATATTATATATAATATGAAAAAATATTTTTAATATTTATATTTTATACTTTTATAATTATTTATTTAATTTATAGTACATAATTTATTTTTTCAATTTTCGTTTTACACCATTATCACATTGAAAAACATAATTTTATATTAACTAAAATTAGATCTAACAACGAAATTAACCTCTCATGAAGCATTCTCATACCATTTATTCATCTTGTTCAT